CTGCCGAGGTTTTTCTCTGAGATGGACCTGTGACCGCCAAAAGTAGCACAACAAAGGCTGTCAAAAAACTACTCACATAGGGCGTAATCAAGGGCCCAAAATCGGCTAGCTTACATCCAAAGGTGGACGAGTTCTCTCGGCGTTGGGGAGGCTTTAGAGGTTGCACCATTCGCATTGGGACGCACACGTTACACGCAGGTAACTTAGTGTAGCCAGCTGTACGTGAATGGTGCACTCAACTGGCCAGCAGCTCAAGATGCACCTCCTATGCAACTTTTGTTGTCACATACTCGCCCTACCCCTGCATTTACTTATTTTTTTAAGCCTCATATTTCTCCATATGCGCCCAATTCCGCGTTTACATCGCGTGTTTGCATTATTTTGAAGTATCACCTCCAATTTTCGTTTCGTCTAAAACTAGATACCCCAAAGTAACCGTGAACTGTGCCTTAATTAGTCACGATTAAATCACTTAGGTACTCTATTTTTCCCCTTGAAGCAGACTTCTGCATTCCCTTCGATGAGCAGGGAACTTTAATTGAAAAGCAAAAATTTTCCAAGGCATTTGTCCAAAACTTTCTACTTAGTGTCTGTGTGCAGTAAGTTAATAATTCTGATGCAGTCATTTTTAAAAAGAATGCATAATTTAATATTTCTAAAAAACGGGTTCCTCCGTCTTTAGCGGGAAAGTTTTTCTGAGAATCGATACCTTCTGAGCCTAGTACGGAGTGTCATAGGAATATCTGTCTTCACTTTGCCAAGGTAACATGGCTTTCATTATTAGTAGTTTCGGGAAGGGCATTTGTTTAACATCTCTTAAATTCGACCTCCTTCACTATGGTAACCATTTATATGGAATATGACTAACGGAGGTCATCCTGAAGTTTCGCAGTCTCCTGGAGAGGATATTTCCTGAGTGGAGTACAGGGATCCTGCTGGGTTCAGAGAAATCTTTCGGGAGCTCTAGGCTAAGGACTTACATATTCTGTGGTCTGTTGGAATGGTTTCAGTTTTTTGTCAGTAATCTGTTCCGAGAGCTTATTGTACCAAAATGTGCCTCGAGAAGGTGTATGAAGAAGGGCTACTTCAGCCATTCCCTATCTTTCTGGATATCTACTTATGCCATGTATGTATACTAGGGAGAGGCCAAGTTACTGGTAGCGAGTTTCATCACGTACTATGTCGTATTGTGCACTTCACCTAATCCTATCCAGACCGGTAGGCTACAATTAAAAAGCTTTGATAGGAGGATTAATCACTAGCCGAAAAAATTGTACCATAGCGTTATTTTCGCTGCTACGTGTCCGCATCTGTACTCGCTCAGTGTAGCTTAAGTGGCAGTGAGAACGAAGGTCAGGGTGTAGATGGGAAGCAAAAATGAGGTAATTCCAGTTTCTCATGTTGTGAAAAAAGCGGAAACCGTAAAACATCCGAGTAAGACAATCCTCGCTTTCTCAGGCAATCTTGCAGAATTGCAGGATAGTATGAAAGGTAGATCCAACTCGTCCGTTACCTCGGACTTTTGGAGAATGAATGCGACGGTGGCAGGCTGTAAAATGCAATGAACCAAACGATTCAACTCCTAAATCTGTCGCTCTGAGTCGCCGCGAGACTCATCCAATCGGAGGCGGGACGCACTTGGGGGTCGCCATGGACGGCGTTGTGTTAATTATGCTGACTCTATTCACCTTTCTCTTTCATATCGCTTTCTTTTCCACCTAACACTCGTCTTTCACAGAGTCCATCGTCACTTTTTGTCCACCTCAGTGTTGTTCACCTCGCAGCTTTCAGGTGAACTTATAGCCGTAAAACCCAGTGCTCACTCTTTTCTTTCGATATTACTTGCAAGCTCTCCGCTAACGAGTAAGGGAGGGGGCACACATGGCAGTGATAGTATATCAAGGAATAAACGTTAGTGTTACATCCGGGCACCCGGGACATAAAAATTTTCAACCAAGTCTATGAGGGAATGAGAGGCGAGTTTCCAGCTTTTCGCGCATGGTAATCATCTCAGCCACCTTGGGTGCCTCTGCCCTCCTAAGACTTGGTAAAAAAAAAAACTACACCCCTGGCTAAAACGATGGTCGGCGCTCACCATTCTGTTCGTCTGTGATACAGTACTAGAATAAATTTAATTTTTACACTGTTGCCCCCCCCCCCCTCCCCCCTCCCCCTTCCCCCAGACTATAACATTTACGTCGTAATAAGTAATCAAAATGACCTCTTGAAGGCGTTCATATAGCTGAGATGGAGTCGTTTCCTGGAGTTACTTAGTTACCTTCATACTGAGATCGATAGGGCCCTCTGTCGTCTTGACCTGGTCTTGGTCTGGTAGTGATGAGGATTCACGTTTTATGCAGACGGCAGAGGAGTGTTCACAAATATGGTCTCATATCACTATGGAGGAGCTGCTACAAGATTCAGAGCTCTGACCCATTCCAAAAGAAACTTGTAAAACTGGTTTGTTTCGAGATAAATAAGTCGAGGCGCCCATATCTTGTATGTCTTCCATTTATACTGAGAAAAACTAGGCAACCTCATAAAACCATATGCACTTAGATGCTTTTGAATCACATACATGGGCTAATCTAAAGGCTTCACTGGAAGTCAAGCGCTTATTGATCATGAAAAGTGCTAGGTCAGTTGAGGAGACGTTATACACCGAGAAGCCATAGGAAGGAGGCACCGTTACCCTTGTACTACTTCAGTGTACATCCCGACGTTTTAGATACAACGATTGAGTTTAAACGGTTGATTTTACGTAATATCATCGCCAACCTATTGTAGGCATCAAAATATCGTGGACTGCAGTTAGCGTCGACTCCTCCTGGATTTCCTCCAGGATGAGAGATAAGGCTTGTTATTCTGGCCGTAAACGTTGTTTTTACTAATTTCTTCTCTGCCAGTAGAGTTTTCGATTGGAACATAATCGATCTACAAAAAATTGCTATCACTATTTTAAGTTGTAGGTAGACAAAAACAAATTACAACCAGCTTCTGTTCCATCATCACCGGCTGCTGTCAGTCAGCGATTTGAGTCCATCTTCAGCGACAATCTTGTTTCTCCGCAAAAGTTGGTCCTCACGGATAAACTGCGGTATTCAAGTGAACAAAATCACATCCTTCAGCAAAAGACTGATGATATCACATACTTCTTCACCTCCTGGCACGCCAACAAAACTCTCCGAAAATACTGAACTGCTTAAGAAGAAAATATCGAGGTTCGTTTGTGTTTTTCTTCTTCTTGCTATCTAAAATTATTATATACCGATCGATAAATTCCGAAAGAAACCTCCGATATTAGAACCTAGGCCAGGGTATCAGTAAATTTACCAGTTATATTTTATTCTATGTATTCCTTGGACCATATTTTCTATCGCGCGCAATTTCCATTTCAGACGATTGCGGCGCGATCTCGATGTGTGGTTACGGTCGTTGCGGTTTGATCCAACTAGGACACTATGAAAGATTTGCTGCATATGTGCGCGTATTAGTGAGAATTCGGGCATAAACACCATCATTCACGTAAATGGATGGCGAGAAAGAAATGTTGCAGGATTTATAAGAATACATTTTCACAAGCCTCTTAAAAGGCGATTTCTTATCGTTCTGTCCATGTGATTTTCTTTCCCAGCGAGTTGAAGAAACCACCAATACAAAGCAGGAGATTTGTTCCCCGTCCATAACGAAAAATCGGTTCGCAGTACTCTTAAGGATGCAGTTCATGATAATCCTGAGGTATCAGACTCAGGTGAAATAATGGAAGTTATGGTGCGGAATTCTATAGAAATTATGAAGCAAGTGCGAAAATCGGCAGGTTCCGGAAATTACATGGCCTTCAAAATGTAGTTAGAGAGGGGTTGCCGGATACTATGCAGCTGCAACTGTCTGGGTGTCTCCCACATAAGCGTACTATTCGTCGGCGACCGAACGCTTCGCTGTGAATGGTGCCGCCTTAATAAGGCCGTCATAACGCGGCCACTTGCGGGTGTGTCCGGCAGCTGAGCTGGTCTTGGGTCCCTTATTACGCCCTATCTAGGCCATCGGCTGCGAAAATCTGGAGTTTGTGAGATCAATGATGAGAAAAGTGTAGCAGTTCGGTAAGTAAGAAAAGATCATCTCTAATGACCACGGTGGTTTTTTGACAGTGCCATCGAGAAGAATCACCAGAACAATTAGATTGCCACCCTTGCGATCGTATGCAGGTGTTCGTATATTTCTGAAACCCATATATACTAAAACCTAGGGAAACGGTAAGTATAGCAAGGTTCGCTCTCAGCAGATTTCAAAAAAAAGCCTGCAAAGTTCTTCGATCCTACAATTTCTTCCGATCACTTTCCAGGGAATGAAGGGAAATTAGCCTTACTATAGCTAGGTGAAGGCTTTTAACGGTAGTGAGGCTAATTCTCTGAAGTGCAGTCTTGAAAAAAGTCCGTACGATTTTGACAAGAGGTAGGCAAAGTGAGACCAAATAAAAACACTGTCTAGCTGTTAACTGAAAGTACAAATTCGTGAAAGGGGCTATGGGTGTATCGGTGCAAGGAGCTTGTGTTCACTACAAAATTGGAACATTTAAAAGCGACTTTACATGAATTGACATTCTTTTCTTTTGGCCGATCCACTTGAAGAAACTTTTGTATTAGCTGAGAAATACTGTATCATCATCTGCTGTCTTAGATCTCTTTCCCACTATAGTACCCTCTACTCATCCTCTACACAATTTGCTAGTTATACCAATTCGAGCGCGTGAAGGTCCCGTCGCGAGCCACCGTACTTCGATGTTGCAAGAAACGGCAAGGATCAAGAGGAACCACGTACTCTAGCTTGTCTGTCAGCTTTACCCAAGCGTAGCACCAAGCACCTCCTCTACCCGCTACGCTAGGCTGCATCTCCGGATAGTCGCCTTTCTCACGACCTACCAGCTATCTACCAGTCCTCGCATCTTGGCCACTGCTGTCCTTTTCGTCTGAACAGTGCAGCTTATCATGACGAGTCCAGGATCTCCGGTGTGCGATGGCGGAATGGACGACAAACGGGAAACGAGTACGGAAGGACAAAAGAACAACAGGAATGGGACCCTCGTAGAGCAGAAGTGAGTTGGGTGACATGTATGCACCCAAACGTTTCTTTTGCCAGTTAACCGATTGAGGAGGGATAGAGGGTTGGCTGAAGTGTGTGAGTTTTGGTCTGAGGTTTGATCTCCTGCCAGTGGTAGCGCATCATCCAACACTACCCCATCTACGGCGCTTCTTTTGATAATTCACATTTATCGTGCGCGTGAGGAGATAATAAATAGGAGTTCTCAAAAAGATTGCTGATTTGTTTTTGTCACGACACTCACTCAACGCGCTCTCAAAGGGACAGTTCAAAATAAAATGGTTTGTAAGGTTCTTTTCTGTGATCACCTGAACATAATGCAAGGGACCATGTCGGTTCGAAAACGACCTAGATACGGCGTAATGAGTTCCCCAAACCCGGCTACACGTACCCTCCCAAAGACGGACGAGATCTCACGGCGTTGTAAGGATGTACGTAAAGGTAGCAATATTCCCACCGGGAAGCATACATTGCACGTAGGCACAGCTTACTGTAGCCGCAATGCAACACATACTTGGGAAGCTCGTCCCAACACCCCTACCATGCAACTTTTGTTGTCACATTCTCGTCCAACCCTTGATTTTACTACTTTTTTCGAAGCCCTATACTTCTCTGAATACGCCTGTTCGACATTTACTCACCATTTTTTCACCATTCTGAGTTATCACTTCCATTATTCTCTCAAACGAGGTACCCCAAAGTTGTCGCGAACTGTGCTTTCGAACCAAACAACGCTACCCTACAATCAGCGGAACATAGTTATTAGTGGGTATGTTTTGAAAGTTGATCAGCATGGAAATCTCAATTTCAAGATCTCTTACGGAGTAGTTTGAGCGCTCGACCTTTACTGTTTATTTTATTTTTATTTTAAAAAGCAATATTTGGATAAACACATAGATTATTCACGGATAGTAGTGGGTCCCAAAAAACTAACTAATTTTGAAATGAACATCAGCTGAGCGAATGGGTTATCATTTTTTACAATGTCCTAAAAAAATATAATTCGTTCTGCTTCGAGCTATGTGCTAGCCGAAATCCTTCGAATATTGCCTCAAGAAGAAGATTTTTTAGGATTCAGGTCCTAACTTGGAACTTATCTGGAAGTGAACTCTCTGATCAGTAGCACACATCTGATAATGGATAGCACACACCCACTTTTGCATTTTGGAGTGGATCCAGAAAGGTCATACAAAACTTCTATGGCCTTCAACTTGCGCATTGAATACTTAGGCCCGTGATAACGCCCATAGCTTACATATCATAATTTAGTAAGGCGGGTGGTATTTTGAACGAACGGCACACCCGATCACGCCCAATCATGCGCTGGTGTTTTCAGCAGCACTAGTTTTACGGTGATTACCGTGGAACCAATGATGCTTTCCTTACTGGGAATTCAATTTCAGATACCGTCACACCTTGAGTCATTCCCTTCCAGCCAGGCGTCTGATTCTGCTTAGTAGTTAGAGGAACTGGTAGATGAGCTCTGGTTCTGGTATCTGGTGATTGCAATGTTGTTAATGGAATGATAACTTTCGTGGGTGCTGGTGTTATAAGATGATTCGCAATGTTTCTCATTTCTATTCTTTTGTAAAATATGATAAAAATCAAAGAACACAAAATCAACAAAAAATGCAGTCAAATAATGGGAAGTGGTGTGAAATATGCTTCAGTCAAGCCTACCAAAATTTTGTCATATTTGCTCCACTACAACAAGTTTGGGTGAGGAAAAGTTGGCGAACTAATTCGTCTTTGAATGGCGCTGTGACCAGCGCGACTAGAAATGTATGAAAACGATGAATGATAAGGTCAGTGTGCTACAATTCAAAATTGAAAGAGAAGTTGCATGAGCTGTGTTCTAGAAGTGGATCTAGGGACCCAATATTGCCCCCAATATTTTTGCTAATCTGGGATTGTTGCGAATTAAGCTGAACTCATCAGCCCCTCCAACATCTTCGATTAATCTCAGCACAGGAGAGACCGAAGCAGAGCTTATCCCGGGTAGATAAACTCATTCAAAGTTCCTATGATCTGGGACTAGAAATTGAGAACATGGGAATGCTAACAATTCAATTTCATAAAAACATTGCAAGTCATCTGGAGCTCTCATTTAGTGCTACTAATCATATCTCATTACTACTCATATCTCATCAAAATTCGAGAAAAAGGGTCTTGTTTAGGGGCTTCCTGACGTCCAATTTTGTCTAATTTTTATGGACGGCTGAACAAGTCGTCTCATCCTTTACGATTGAGAGCGGAACTCTACAAACTCTGGTACTAAAGTGACTTTTCAAGTCTTTGTCCACGTTGAGAGTATGTCAAGGACTCCTGTTAGCTCAGCGTTTTTCCATCAACCATTCCTCCTATTTGTTTTGCAGCCAATAAATATGTATAGTGAGGATACGGGATCGCGACAATTGTCAACTACCACAAACGAGTCCCCTCCCCAAACGCTGACCGTGATAACGAACCCGTGAAAAGTGTGTTCCCCGCATCCGTCGAAACAAGGTCACCGCGCTCACTTCGCGCGCGGCGAAGCCCCTTTCGATCTTACAGTATCACTGAGTGTCAATAAAACGTATGATTAGCACTAGTACGAGTTATCATCTCCTCAAGCTGGCTGCCGCGGACCAAGCGCAAATCGTATGGCCCACTGACATGAGACATCCGTCAAGAATCGCGAGCTGACGCGCCGCGTACGATGACTGCGGCGTTACTTTGTTTCGACGGACATGCTTGACGAAGCGCACCTCTTAGCCCTTACATTTCAGCCTATTATCAATGACGGAGGAAATTGTCTCGTATTCTTTGGTAATACCCTTACCGTATTCAGGACGCTGTCACACGAGAAGAAGCGATCAGGAGCGGAAGCACCGCCAGAAAATGTTCCACTACCTCAACGTCCATTTAAAGCGGCTCATGATTCTTTTCGTCTACGAATGTTTCAGGAACAACATGGATTTGAACCGGTAGTATGTCACCAAGAGTGTCATCTTTTCACAAATCACATTTATCAGATTTTATTTTGATTTCTCAAAGTTCTGTCAAATGCAATCCATTTTTCTTGAAATAAAGCCCTGCAATCCGTTTTTTTTTCTCGCGTCATTAAATCATTCCGAAAAAATGAGAAACGAGAATAAAATGCATTTATCTCCGCACTCGTTGAAGTTTGCTGTGTATAACATTGAGATCAACGCTGTAATACATCTGTTCTTGAAGTGAGTGAAGGTCATTGTTTTCAGGTTTTCATGACAAAGAAACGGACGAGGGACAACAAGTCAGTGATGAGTGAATTCAAAGGTGGCGATCTGAACAAGTACACAGCGAAAACCTATGCTATCCAAAATGGGAACGAGGTTTTCGGTGGTAAGTTCAACTTGTTCTCCTTGTTTTCTTCTTGAGTATTCCGGAACCACCACCATTTATGAATGGTGAGCAAAATTTCGTCTTGATTGAGATTCCAGGCACTGTTGAAGTTTTTTTTGTAAATAAGTGGATTGATGGGAGGAGCTTCAGAATTCTGAAGAATGTTTATGAAAGGAAATAAAGGTCAATCTCTCCTGATCCGTAGTTAGCTGTCACTTCCTCAACAGATAGTTAACCTTTCAAGGTTTCGAATGATTCACTACAAAACCTTTGGTGCCGATATTATAGGTAACCAGCACTTGGCCAACACTTTAGCTTACCAGTTTCATCTAAGCTTATATTACAATCTAGCGTACGACTTTCGCTGTTTCTGAAGAAACAACTCTTGACTAGAAATAGTTGACCATAGAATTGTAGCTTTTATTCATAATCGCACTAACAATAAGTGGGTTTTTCTAGATGTCTTGTTTCTTCTATGATTGGTTGTCTAACCACACCCACCAATCACAAGCGAGCATGATACGCAACGCTTTTTTCACGATATTTAAACACTGATGTTTGAATTACGACAAATGAATCAAAATCTAATGAAACAGAATTATGATTCTCGAGTATTTCCTGAAGAGCTGTTGTCAGTAATGCCTTAATACAGAAGCTAATCTGAAGCGGCCGAAAGTGAGACTTTCAGAATATTTATTCATTTATTTTGATGCACGCAGCGGTGCGCTCTAATAATACAGTGAAGTAAAACATAAACGACATAATCGAGTCAACCTTACATCGGTTGGTCAAGATTTGTTCAGATTGATAAGAAAGTAGTTAAGTTACACTCGAGGTCCGGCGAAGGAAACTCAATGGGCGGATGGCGCTAGGGATAACACCACTCCCAGAGAGCATGAAATATGTATATATACATATATGGAATCCGAAACCGAATTTTCGAATGTTAGGTATTCCTTAGCCATTACAATTCAGCTTCAGAATATCAAAGAAATTCCTGAAAAAACACTGCACCTTGTTGAATTTTGAAACTCTGACTGAGAACAGTCGAAGAAGATGTGCTACACGGATTTCTGGAAAAAACTGTACTAAGGTTTTCAAGCTGCTGCGAACGAGTATGAGATTACAAGTATAGAACAGTGAAATTTCCCCATATTACTTATTCAGATGAGGAGTAAAAAAATAAATAAGTTATGCATGTGAAATGTAAGGAAATTATCGAATCATGTTGCCAATAGGTATAGGAATTGACGGTTACTCACTACTTCATTGATTTCTAGCAATGGCCAAAGTTAACGAATCCGATTTCACAGAATGGGTTTCGCGCTTTTCAGTATCCCGAGTTCTCGGGTTCTTTATAAGCATTCACTCTCTAATGAGTGATACGTGTCCGGAGGTCTTTTCTCCCACAGTTAATCTGGAGTTTTCAAACTCTCGCATTCGATAATCAAATTCTTGCTTATTTTTAATAATTGTAAGTATAGCTTCGTACATCCTCGATGGACACTTCAGTCGACAGTATTTCAATACAAAGTTTTGCATTGCCTAAAAAGGTAACACTTTGAAATGTCACCTTTTTGTGTTCTAACAAAACAAGATTGCGAAGAGTAACTTAAGCAAAATTGTAAAGGATTCAGTCTTCTAGCGTCGCTTATAAGGAAGGTCTTTCAGGGCGTGGGTCGCTTTTTGAAAATTTTTTTACATGGGGTAGGGGAGTACTGAGTACAGAACTATCGTTCATTTCCTCTAAATGGCCTTCTGAATGCCAAAAAAGGAGTGAAAATGATTTTGCCAATTGCCGTTTTTACCCACTAACCGTGTTTGTTTCATTCATGGCGTCGACTGTCCGCACAGTAGAAGGCGCCAGTGGACTGCGTATGAAAATAACGCGAACGGTAGCCAAAAAGGAAGCCACATGTTGAAACATGTTGGAAAATGCGGGGAAGTTTTATACGCTCTCTCCAAACGGATAGTGTGGTGGGTAGCGATGTGGATTCGACCTTCGACGGATAGGCTGTGTTGATGGCTGGGATCCTGGAGGCGCTGTCGTTTTTGCATTTAATGCTGCCACCTCAAGATTGGCTCCATACTACACCACGGCCAGAGCAAGTGCCTGACTGGTCATGGTCATGACCAGGACCAGCGATAACCTCTTCAAGTTGAATTTTGCTGATATTGACTGATGGAAAGACAATTCCCGCTCAAACGGATTCGCTGTTGATGATCGGAATTGTCATTGAGTCAACAACTTCGAAAGGACGGGCAAGAAGCTATGATCCACAAGAGTGATTGAGCTTCTTAACACCTTTGAAACACACATAAATCGAACTGAGGTACCAGCATGAAAGAAGCACTAAATAGAGGTGAAAAAGTACGCGTCACCCGTATGGAACACCAGGAGCAAGGTAGTGGACTGATACTGGACAATATGAGAACCCGCAAATCTGGCTTTCGGTCACCTTCGACATACTGGCAAACCAAACATTAGGACTCTACTATATGCCAGAAGCTCTGCGGATTGTCCTGAACGATCCACACATTGTTATATTATCACCAATTAGATATTTGCACTATGAAGGAGAAAGTGGGGTAGTGCCAAGTAGCTTACTATCGACCGTATCTCGGATTGATTAACACCCAGGCCCAAACTTTACCCTTTTTGGGCGAAGTAGTACCAGACTCGTTTAGTAGTATAGAAGCCGTGAATTGTATACTGGCCGACCCCAGCTAGTCTTTGTATTCAAACACCACAGTAATTCTGAGTGGAAGTCGAATTGATCTCATCGCGGATATCAAGATGGGATTCATCAAGGGTGAAGACTTCAACACACAATCATTGTTACTATGAGACATTGCTGGAGGAGAATGATAGGAACATTTCAGGGTAATCAGTGGCCTGAACACTACTAGAGTGATGGAGAAGTGAGTAGTAAGAGGGAAAGGGCCGTGCAGAAAGTTCAAAAATGTTCTATCATTGGTTCTCGAGCATTCCCATGTTCTCCCTCAAAGGATCACACCAATATGGTGATCCATTGGGTTCATTCTACTGGAACCTTTCCTGGAAGTGTAGGCACTGCTTTCACAAAATGTCAGTTCAGTGATAGCACTAGTAAACCCATTAACGTTTTGTTCCCACGAGCCCAGGTTATAGCCCAAAAGTCGGCAAAAGCTCAAAGGAGCAAATGGGTATATGTATTCGAATACCTGGGTTTCAAAACTCACCCTACGAAAGGGACCACAATCTGGGAAGTAAAATTCAAATTGTAAAGGTTATCGCTGGTCCTGGTCACCACCATGACCAGTCAGGCACTTCCTTTGGACCTATTGCAGTATGGAGACAATCTACAGGCGGCAGCATAAAATGCAAAAACGACAGCGCCCACAGGATGCCAACCACCAACCCAACCTAGCTGTCCCAGATCGAAGTCCACATCGCTATACACCACACCATCCGCGCTGCCAGTAGCTCAACCATGGACAGTTCATATGAAATTTCCCCGCATTTTTCAACACGTTTCAACATTTGGCTCCCTTTCTTGGCTACCGTTCATTGTTAGGGCAGTTGGAAAGATGAGCCCGCATTCGTCCTCATTCATAATCGTTGTGGAATTGTTGAATGCGTGTGTGACCTGAACAATGACATGCATCGACCATCCAATGAACTCAGTGCTCGAATCATCCAGATGAGACTGGCATCAATTATCCGGAAGGTTTGAATGCTTAGGGGCCTGAGGGAATACCTATCCCTGAGCGTAAGTGTGTGAGTGCCCCACTGAAACACCTTCCCCTGAAGCAAAATTACAAACTTTCATCCTTTTGAGGGAGGGAAATGAATAGATTCCGTCACAGCCTATTGCCAGAGGACTGCAAAAGCGTGAAGCTTAGTTTCAAAAAGAGAGATCTAAAGCAGATTTCGTTTTTTGGATCAAGCGCGCCGTAGCAGTATGACAGTACTGCTTGTTACTGTCCTATATGGCTTTCATAATGTAAAGCAGTAATGCCATTAGTATTAACACATAAATTCTCATTGTTGAATAAGTTGCTGCGTTAAGATAAAAAGAAATTGGATGAAGAATGGAGTCCCTTAGCAATGTTCAATCTCGATCCCGGGATACGCCATGTTCTCCACTCTCATGCAGATTCGTAGTTGTGTCTCTGGCTACATACGTATGTGCCTGTACATAGCGGTCGATATTTGAGTTAGTGACTTCCTCATCCCGAAAGAGTCTGGTAGCAAACGACCGACCCTAAAGTAAACGATCGACTTGTACGGGCTGATATCATTCAGGTCCTGAATTTTGAGTTTCAAATTGATTCGTTTTGATAAATCTTGAAAATTTGGAAATTGGTATTCAAGTCAGTTATTAAGCTTGCCATGTTTTGCCATTTTCTTACGGGAAGAATTGGCTCTGATTCAGACCATTTTCAATTTCTTCCGGAATATTCTCGCATAAAGTTACAAACACTGATTATTTACTTTGAAACTCGATTGCCTAATATGATTGTTTGTTAAAGTTTACAGATTGTGTATATGCATTTTGTCTACAAGTATTTTTTTTTATTATTTCTGCCGATATTTTTTATTTTATATATATTTTTTTTGTATTTTCCTAAGCTCACACCCTAGGCACCTTATACAATTCAGGTATCTCTAAGAATTTTATCCGTATTTCATACCCATCCGTTTCACTGAAGTAAACGAATACAGTGGACGATTGTTCCAAGAAAAAATCATCCTATTTTGAATAAACACTTTTTACTATCTGCTTGTTTTGTTGAGGGGCTTTATTGTGAGCCGAAGAATCAGCTTTCTATATTGGTGCCACATTTACTGCAGTGCTTTTCTAGTTGTAGGCTCCGCATCGCCGAAACTCAATCGAGTTTCTGCTTGACTGATGCTTGCAAAAACAAAGCATCCACGACTTTCAGCGAGGAATTTATAAAAGACCAGATTTCAAATAATTCCCCCATTAAAATCATTTCCTAATGTCCTCGCAGAATCTGCTACTACTAAGGGCTGTGGTTTGGATTTTTT